GCTGCATAGTGTTACTCTGTAATGTAATTTAACCAATCCCCTGTTGACAGACATTTAGGCTGCATCCAATCTTTTACCAATACGAGCAAAGCTGCAAAGAATAATCTACACATTCCTATTTCACCTATGTGCAAATATGTAGGACTGATTCCTAGAAGTGAAAATCCTAGGTCAAAGGGTATAAGTGTGGTTTTTATTGATTTTGATTTTGATGGATATTGCCAAATTGCTCTCTGTGGATGTTACCAATTTTTACTCCCACCAACAAACAAGTAAGGCCTGTTTACTTAAACCCACACCCTTTCCAACTCTGTATGAAATTTTTTGCTCATTACAAATATAAGTTAAACATGATTTGCATTTCTTTTATGGTGAATGAGGATAGGTATCTTTTCATACACTTGAGAGTTCTTTATATTTCCTTTTCTGTGAAATGTCTGTATAAATTTTTGTACCTTTTTTATTGGGTTGTTGGTATTTTTCTTATAGATATGTAGATTTTTATGTATCAAAATTAGCGCTTTCTCTGCAATATGAATTATAAATATTTTCCTTAGATTGCCATCTATCTTTTAACTTTTGCTTATGACTGTTTACCAGGCATACTCTTAACATTTTTAATATATATTTAAATGTATCAGTCTTTTCCTTTATGACTTCTGTATTTTGTTATCATACTTAGAAATGTCTTCCCCACTCCACACTTCTGTAGTGTTCTTGCCAAAAATGCATAACCTCAATCTAATAATGAGAAAACACTGGACAAATCCAAATTGAGGGACATTCTGCAAAATAACTCACCAGTACTCTTCACATGTGTCAAGATAGGGGCCGGCCTGGTGGCACAAGCGGCTAAGTGCGCACGCTCCGCTGCGGCGGTGGCCCGGGGTTCGCCGGTTCGGAGCCTGGGCGCGCATCGATGCACTGCTTGGCAAGCCATGCTCTGGTGGTGCCCCATATAAAGTGGAGGAAGATGGGCATGCAGGGCCAGTCTTCCTCAGCAAAAAAAAAAAAAAAAAAAAAAGGAGGATTGACAGATGTTAGCACAGGGCTGATCTCCTCACACACTAAAAAAAAGTGTAAAAGTGTCAAGATAATGAAAGGAAAAATTAAAGACTGAGGAACTGTCTCAGATCAGAAAAGCCTAAGGAGACATGACAACTAAATGCCATGTGAAATCCTGGATTAGATTCTGAATCAGAAAAAAGGCATTAGTGGGGAAACTGGCAAAATTCAAATAAGATCTGTAGATTAGTTAATAGTATTGTATCAGTGCTAATTTCTTGGTTTTGATAATTATGCTATGGCTATGTAAGATGTTAACATATGGAGAAGTTGGATGAAGGGTATACAGGAACTTTATAATACTATTTTTGCAACTTTTCTGGAGGTCTAAAATTATTCAAAACAACAAGGTTAATAATGGCACAGTTTCTTTGAGTACCTTTATGGTTTTATTTTTTACACTATAATCTTTGATCTATTGGTAATATTGGTATAAGGTATTGATCCATATTTTTCTCCAGATGGCTACTCAGTTGTCCTAATAACTTTTATTGACTAATCCCTTTTTTCCCACACTGATTTTTTTATTTAATTATTTTTAATTATCTATTTATTTATTTTTTGTTTTTTGAGGAAGACCGGCCCTGAGCTAACATCTATTGCCAATCCTCCTCCTTTTTGTCCCTTTTTCTCCCCAAAGCCCCAGTAGATAGTTGTATGTCATAGTTGCACGTCCTTCTAGTTGCTGTATGTGGGACGCAGCCTCAGCATGGCCGGACAAGCGGTGCGTTGGTGCGTGCCCAGCATCTGAACCCCAGCTGCCAGTAGCGGAGCGCACGCACTTAGCTGCTAAGCCACGGGGCCGGCCCCTATCTATTTATTTTTAAAATTGTGGTAAAAAATACATAAAATCTACCATCTTAGTCATTTTTAAATGTAAAGTTCAGTAGTGTTAAGTAAATTCATATTGTTGTGCAACCAATCTTCAGAACTCTTTTCATCTTGCAAAACTGAAACTCTGTACCCATTAAACAACTCCCCATTCCTCCCTCCTCCAGCCCCTGGCAACCACCATTCTGCTTTCTGTCTATGAATTTGACTGCTCTAGGTACCTCATATAAGTAGAATCAAGCAGTATTTATCTTTTTTGTAACTGGCTTATGCTGATTAACAAGCCATTAATTTCACAATAAAATGAAAATCTATTTCTGATACTAATTGGCAAAGGACTGGTGTTGACTAAGAAACAAATCATTGAAGTGCTTGTAGCAGCTACGTCTGGAATGTGGATGAGGGAATTGAGGCACAGAAAGGTTAAGTGACCTGTTGCCGATCACACAGCCAAGAAGGGGAGAGGATTCACTTTGAACCCAGCAGTCGGGCTCCACAGCTTGCTTCTATAGTCTTTGCCCTAGGCTTGGATTCACATAAGAGAACCAAGATTTGGGAACCAGCAGCAACTAGTTGGTGTCTGAAGACAAGCGGTGGATGAAGTCACCCAAGGAGTAGTGATCACCAACATTTAAGGGGCAAGTGGAAGAGACAACCCGGTAGCACGTCCCCAGTGACTGACACGCTGTAGGTGCGCAGTCACTCTTGATTGGATAAGTCAGAAGGAGCAGCTAGAACAGTGGGAGATAAGCCAGGGGAATCATTTTTCCTGAGCTAAGGGGGAAGAAATTTCAAAAGAGGGCGGTGGTCAACATACTATATGCTGAAAAGAGGGCAAGCAAAGGTCTGAGAAGTGACCTCTGGATTTAGGAACAAGGAAGTCATTGGTGATGAGCAGTTTCTTGAGATGGTAAAGGCAGGAGTGTGCTGGTAAATGTTTAACAACCAACTCTCCAAAAAAGTCTCCATTTATGTAATTACATAAGTTTATTATAAATTTTACTGATATAAAGGATGTGTAACAGAATTCATAAATAATAAGAAAATATACAATATTCTTTGTTGTAAATTCCACTCTTGTATCCACGGTTTCATAAATGGAGTTGTAAGCTAACTACAAGTGTGGTTCCAACATGAATGTTGGTTGATATTTTTCTTTACATTTTTGAGTAATACAAAAATGAAACAATGATGGTATGTTGAAACTTTACTGGTTCCTCAATGACTTGAGTGACTTCTTTACTGAATCTGATAATAGTTTTCAAATCCTGGGAGAATATTTCCTTGATTTTTTTGTGCTATTCACAATGTAACAGTTACAGACATGACACTTTTAAGTTTAATCTGCATTATTAACATTTTCTCCATCACTTTCTTAAATCTAGACAATCAACAAAGCCTGATATGTAGTGTTTGCCAATTTTTGCAGTATAAATACTCCCACCAAGGCTGATTTCAAACTACCAACTTGATGTTACTAAATGAGTTGGGAAGAGATACACAGTAGTACATCATTATATAGTATTTCCACCATCAGATCCAATAAATTTAAATAACCTCAAGAGCATATATAATAGTGAAGTGCAGTAAAATAATCAGAAAGTAATGAGTTTGGGTATTTATTACTTCTGTTTTTAAATATAATTTATTTAATTGTAAATGTACACAATTTAATTTCTGATAATAGCTGTGTTTAACAACTGGTCCACAATGTTTCTGAAAAACAGTCAGCTTTCACAAATCGGTGGAGCACAGCACTGGGTGGAGGTGAGAGCCAGACCGCAGTGGGATGTGACTTTCCTGATCAAGCCTCTAACCATGGCCAGCAAAGTCCACCCTCCCTGCCTCCCCTGCAATCTGCTCTGCGCCCTCTCTGCTCCAGCCACACTCCAGGACCTCGCTCAAACTGCTCCTGTAGGAGCAACACTCCTGCCACCTGGGGCAAATTAATCCTTACTCCATGGCATCTGTAGTCTCTTTTGTAGCACTTATCACAATTTGCTATTAAATTATTCTGGGAGTACCAGAACTTGTTTCTTGTCCATCTGCATGAGCCATACTATCTGTGATGGCCAAGGTTGGTATGGGTCATATTCACATCTATCCCCTCAGTAATCTACTACAATGCTTTGCATACAGTTAAGTGCTCAACAAGTATTCACTGAATGAATATGCTCAGGATGAAGGGCTGCCAGAAGGGATGGACAGCTAGAGAAAGGTGGTATTTGTGTGAGGCATCACCTGAGGGGCATCACCAGAAAGCATATTCTCAAATGTCTTTTGCTTATTTAGAATGGCCTGTGCTCCACCATCACCATCTATGACTGAAAGTACAGAGAATCTTCTCAACATAGACTGAACCTTCCCCAGGAAACATGACCCTGAGAATATTCATTCTGTGACAAGGTAGAACTTTAGACTCTTGTAATTTGTTTGTATAATGCCTAATTGTTATGTGTTTTAAGAACTTTCTTTTGAACATGTTCTTCCCGTGTGCTAGCAGGCAGAAGTGGCGTGTTCTCATTACACTACTGACTGAATAACTGGGGAGCTTTGCCAGGTTTCTGGGTGGGAGCTCTAACCACCAAGGGAGTCCCCCTGAGCAGGTGGCCCTTCTTGCCATGGTGAGATGGAAGGTTTGACAATAGACCATTTGTGACACCGAGTATAACTGACATTAGTGATCATTTAATAGAAAACCAGACATAACAAAATTATCCTGTGCTCACTTAAGTAGTTTAAAATAAACTAATACTGCCAGATAACTAAAACTCCGGAGCTTAGAAGTATACATAAGATTAGACATTTACTGGTGATAAATACTTCCAAAACGAGACGAAAACCCCTGCCAAATGAGAAGTTAGCTAAATTTAAAAAAACGACCTATATAAATAAGACCCCCAAATGAAAAGAACCTAGCCAACTGCTTAAAGTCGGGACACTCAGTTTCTACCCAAAACAGCAACGACAAAATTAACGAGTAACAAACAACATCGGAAAATAGTTGAGTCATAAAATAATTCACTACTAGTAAAACCTCAACACATCTCATGTTTAAGCAAGTCAAGTCTAACCATCAGCACAAAAGTAAAACAACGCGATCGTCAGGAAGAATCAGATAGGAGTAATCAGGGTGTTGCAAATCCTGATCACGCAGAGACGCTAATCACGAGTCATGCGCACTCCAATCATCATGTTCCAATCTGCCCCCCAAAAAGGGGGAACAGGTAAGGATTATCCTACCTGACGATAACCAATTTTTGCTAGGGCATTCCGTACTCAGGGGAAAAGATTCCGCTAACAACTACGGTGACTATATAATGCGTTAGCCTGAGCAACCTGTTTATTTAAGCTCCCCCACTTCTGTTGGAACATTTATTTGCAGATCTTTTAAAATAAATTTTTTTTCCATTTGGCTGCCAAAAGGGATAAATTAATTCCTCCCAGAATGCTCCATTCACTCACGAGCTTGGAGTCCTAGTCGTACGCGCCACTTTATTTACATATCTCCGCCCACCCCCTTCGCCAGACAGCTACCGTAATAACCAAAATAAAAGCGATACCTATTATCTTGCAGTCTCCAAAGCTGGAAAACAGCCTTCCGTTTCTCCAGTTGTTTGGCCATCCCGATTCTCCTTTGAAATTTTTATAAGTCTTGATCTTACTCTAAAATATATTTTATTACAAAGAGCTAAATTAAACTTTGATAAGCCTAGACGCGAGAGATAATTACCTTAACACTACTAACACTGACATCTTCCACCAAATGCAGTTTCAGTGGGAGCGCTGAAGCCTACGCCTGCCTTCTTCCAGGAACGGTGAGTGGTCCCTTGCTCCTCCAGCCTTCATCTCTACGTTCCCATCATGAAGGTGATCAGAAAGGTTTCTTTTTCAGCCCAAAGACGCTGACGAATAATGCCATTTCAGTGACAGCTGGGAGGGCGCTGCGAAAGGCAGGTGGTGGATTCAGGGCCCCTTCCAATAAAAATACCCAAATCCCCAAACCAGAGACCCCACTCCCAAAGCCAAGGTGGGGCGGGACTTGAAAAGACCACAGGATGTTGAGTGGATCTGGTATTTCACATATGGAGTAAAGCGCTGGTGGGGGAAACTTTCAGATTTAGAGTAAACCTTCCACCCCCCCATCTCCAAACATTGGACGCTACTGTACCTGCAGAAGACAAAAATGTACCAGTACGTGGTGCACTCCCAACGCTCGAATATGAAAAAGGATAGGGCCACAGACGCACTACAGTGAGCCCCCATGGCTTGAGAACACACCAGAGTCAAGGAAAGCCTATGGATCGATAGATACTGATGGGCCAGAAAAGGCCAGTGGTGGGGCTGGCATCTGCACTCAGGTTCACCTCTTGCTTCCTCCTCACATTGCAAAGGTCAGAGCCGGTAGCCCTGCCTTCTGAGTTTTAGAACAGCCACGTGAGCAGAGGCCATAGGTGAGCCTGCACAGCTGAGACCCAGGCTACTCCCACCCCATATCTAAAGGCCAGGCTGGACCTTTCCGGTGAGGTAGGAGTAGGCTCCTCATCTCCCCCAGGCCACACAGGAATGCTCACAGTGACTTGATACGCTCTGCTGGAACTACCCTCCAGCATCCGGGTCCTCCTGGTCCACAATTCAAGTGTCAAGAGCCTTCCCTGATCCATCTTTCTCACTTCCTCTGTTTCTTCTGAGTTCCCATAATGTTTTATATCTTTACACACTCCCACAGCACAGTGCTTATCGCACTGAATTACAGATGGCTGTGTCTGCCTCTTCCTCAAGGCAGAAAACTGTGTTTTACTCCCATTTTTGGATCTCCCGTGCCTGGTGCATAGCAGGGGCAAATGACTAAAGATTGTATTAAATACTCTCCATTGCCTAAAGAGATCTCTCAACTGGGGAGACTGTCCGCTAGGGCAGACACTATTGTGCCAGAAAAGCCTAGTTAGGTGGCTGAAGGTAGTTGTGATGGAAATGGACAGTGTGGGAAAGGTGCGCAGGCAGAAAGGATACAGATGAGGCTCTGGGTGCTGTTGAACATGGAAACTCCTGAGAAGAAGCCGGCCAGCTCCACTGCAAAGAGGCCCAGGGTGACAGAGAGCGCTGCCACCAGCCTGCAGAGAGGAAGGGGGTTGGTTCAGGCCTTCTGGACTTCTTCTAAGACCCCTCCACTCCCACCACTGCTTAATTCTGACCACCCCGCCCCAAGTGCTCACTGAATGTCCTGCTTCTCGTACTCCTCGGGAGTGAACGTGAGAGGCAGGCAGGCCTGGATGTTGCTGTCCTGGGGAGCAGGGCAGAGAGGAAGAGAAGTGAAAAAGGGGCGGGCTGCGGGGCAGGCCTGGGGGCAGCGAGGCATGGGAGGACCCGACCAGGTAAGGCCCTGGGAAAGAAGCGGGGTTGGGTTGGGACCACCCCGAGGCGGGAATGGGGGCGGGAGGAGGGTGGCCGTGGGTCTTACCCGGGACCAGAATAAGGTGATGACGACCACCAGATGCGCCAGGAGCGTCAGGAACCGAGAGGGCACGAGCCCTGAGATCCGGCCCATGGCCCCCAGGGGCAGAGGCACGGTCTGGAGCAGAAGCCGAGGTCTCAGGGGCTGGAAGTTTAGGGATGGCCACTCCTGAAGTCTCGCAGACTAGCAGACAAAAACTCGACGTACGCCCCCTTCCTGCTCGCGCTGGCACCGCCCAGTTGCCTCGGCAACCACGTAAGCGGGCGCCGCGGCCGGATCTCTGAAAATCTCGCGAGAGTAGTAAATTCTCCAGCCGCCGTGGACCTCTTGGAGAGCGTAGGTTTGGGGTCCGCAGCGGGTGGTCCCTGCCGGGTGCCTACCGCGGACCGGCTCCCATCGCGCAGCCGAGCCGTCTGCACGTGAGAGTGCGCGATGTGGCGCAGCCCCGCACCGCCGAACCTGCCCACGCAGGGCGAGCGAAAGGACACCCGCCCTGCCCTAGCCCACTACACCCCTTCCTCCCCGGATGCCCACGCCAGGAGCGGCCCGGCCGCAGACCCCCGCTACGTTGCCCAGGATGACCCTCCGCGGAAGAGTTGCTCACCAGAGACGATGTCACCGCCCCGCCGGGCTTAGGGCACCGCCATGCCCAAGGCATGGACTCTCTCCTTTTCTCTCCTCCGCATCCCTTTAGCTTCCCACTGCCCTGGGCCAGAGGAGACGAAGGGAACTAAACGTGGAGAGATGGATGTCCCTAGATGGTCCAGCTATCACTTATTGTCACGCAGCCCCTTGTTCTCCGAGGACCCCAGACCTGAACCTTCCTTGATTCTGATTCCCCCCACCTGACTCCCCAGACAACTGACCTTTGGGCCTCAAAGGGGATCCCTGCAGAACGGAAAGTTCTCGGCCGCGTTTATCGCTCACAGTCACAGGAGTCGCGGGGACCCCCGTCCACTTAGGAGAAGATCATCTTTCTCCCTACTCTCCATCTCAGTGCTTTTAGGACTGTCTAAAGTACAAGACCAAGGGGCATTTCTGATTTCTTGATTCATTCATTCATTCGTTCATTCATTCAACAGATATTTATTGACCAGCTGGTAAGTGCCAGGCACTGTGCTGGGCTCTTGTTCTTGACAGAAGTCTCTACCTTCGTGGGGTTTATATTCTAGTCAGGGAGATCGACAGCAAACATGCAAACAATACGTCTGCATGGTAATAGGTGTCATAAATAAAATTTTAAAAGGGAAACACTAGAATAATATGATCAAGAAAAAGCTGTTTGAAGTGGGTCATTTGCCCTCAAACTTTGTTTTAGGAAATTTGGTCAAAAGTGAGAGGAAATGCATTTCTCTCTTCCAGGACCTCAGTGTAATAAATGGATTTCCTTTTTATAAACCAGTGGGTGAAAAAATTCAGAATTCAAAGAGATAGTCAAAAGATGTTTCCTCAAGGTCATGAAAGACAAAGACTGAAGAACTCTTCCAGATTAAGGGAGATTAAGATGTGACAAAGTTGACACGAGAAATTTAATGTGTGATCCTAGTGGATCTTGGATTAGGGGAAAAAAAACTTTAAAGAATATTAGTAGAACAATTGGCAAAATTTGAATAAGGTCTCTAGCTTAGATAATAGTATTTGTTATCAGTGTTAACTTCCTGATTTTTGATATTCTAATGCCTTTATGGATGAGAACGTCCTTGTTAGAAAATACACACTGAAGTGTTTTGGGGTAAAGGGGCATTATGTCTGCAATTTACTCTCAAATGGTTTAGAAAAAATATATGTGTCTGTAGAGATAGACAATGATAAAGCAAAGACAATGATATGCCTTTTCAGTGAATGCACAGGGAAATTCTTTGTATTATTTTTGCTACTTTTCTAGAAATAAAATTATTTTAAAATAAAAAGTTTTAAATGATAAGCCTTTTAAAGTTTTCCTTCCAGGTCTTATACAGTATTATCACTGAGACATTAAATTGCTGTATAAAAAGAAGGAATGATTTCTAGGATTGAGTGTCCCTAAATGTTGACCTCCTATATATTAACACTATGTAATAACATGTTCATATAAAACCGCCTCTTTAGAGGGCAGCACAGCTTTTTCCTCACAATGGAGACAATGTGATCACCAAAACTCATAAAATAAAAATTGCAATTATTTAGACTTCTCAGAGGAATTATTTTTATAAAGTGTGAGGTTCAGCAAAGTCTCTTTATTCTCCACTCAAAAAATATTTGATGATAATCAAATATTACCCACACTGGTTTCTCAGCTCTCAGCTGTGTAGGGGAGGTTCTCTCTTTAACTGGACTGTTTCAAAGGTCTGAAAATATTTTCAAACTTCCCCCATCTCAGGAGGGACAGGCAAACCCATCAAGTACAGTGGGCCCAGCTGCTTCTCTCCCTTGAGGTGACCCTCGTCTTTATTAATGATGTGATGATGTGACAGCGATGACACTAAAATACAATGAGAGGTGGGCTTCCCGTGCTCTCCAACATGGAAATCACAGAGCAGCAAGCATGGGAACATTCTTAGTGCACAGAGAAGATGCAAGGACTGAAGGGCTCCTCATACTCTTCTTCTCTCTGCCTGTAACTTACATGCCTTTTCTCCTGAGAATAGAAAGCCCAGGTCTTCAGGGCCAAGCTCCCCCAGCGACAGTTTATCAAGTCTAACTGTTCACAGGTGAAGGAAGCACTGTCATAGAATGCAAGTGAGGAAAGCCCGTGACCTTGCTTTTGCAAGACTTCCCAAGGTCCTTGGAACAAATAGAAGAGAAAGAGTCAGCCATGTGGAGATCTGGGGAAAGAGCATTCCAGGCAGAGAAACAGCAAGTGCAAAGGTCCTTACGTGGGGACACGCCCAGTGTGTTTGTTGAACGAACAGGAAGCTAGTGTGTCTGAAGTGTAGTAATGGAAGGGGAAGAAGAGATCGGGGTGAGGTGGGATGGGTAGACAAGGGTCAGATCATGTTGGGCCTTGCAGCCATGGGCAGGGACATGGTCGGATTTGTATTCTAGAAGATGACTTTGGTTGCAACATGGAGAATAGATTTTAAGCAGAAGGCTAGTAAAGAAGCCATCGAGTTCTCCAGGAAGGACAGGATGAAATCGGGCCAGGATGGAATCAAGAAAGAGGAGCAAAGTGGAAGGAATCAAGAGATAGTTAGAAATAGGTGAAGGCAGTATAAATTTATGTTTTTTAAAAAAAGAGATAGAAGATAAGAAGGTCTGGACATGGGGCTGTGGGTGGGCGAGAAAAAGAGAAGGGTCTAGGATAACTGTTAGATTTTGGGCTCCAGCAGCCGGAAGTTTGGGGCATTCTGCTTATAGTAGGCTTCCTGCCTAAGGGACCTACTAGATAGTAAGAACTGGGTAGTCACATTTCACATTGTGAGTTAATAAACAACAGGCATTTAGGTCTGTTCTGTCATTTTCCGTGACCTTGGTTCACCGCAGCCTGCTCTACAGAGACGTCTCACAAAAGTGAGTTTTGGAGCCACCCTGTGGCCATAGGAAGCACTGCCAGTGACCAGGTGTCCCCTAGCGGGCCACTTGCTTCAGGGCTGGAACCCACATGTCCTAACATCTGAACTGGTCATAAAACAACTTAGAAAAAAAAATGTTTATCATGGAAAAATTCAAACATGTAAAAATAAAGAAAATACTATAATGAACCCCTTTGAAGCCTACCATTCTCCTTCAACAATTACCAACACATGGCCAACCTTGTTTCAGCTATACTCCTTCCTCCTAGGCCCACCAGGTTATTTTGAAGCAAATCTCAGACATCACAAAATAGTTCAAATTGTCCAATCTCATACATATTATTTTTTCACTGTTTGTCCCTCCCCGTTCCTTGTTTTCTTGCAATTTATCTGTTGAAGACACTGGGATGTTTTGGGCTGTGTACTAGTTGTGTCGTTTAACATGTTCCCCTGCGACCAGTATTTCCTGTAAACTGGTTGTTACACCTAGTGGTTGATCAGCCTCATGTTCAATTTTCTGATAAAAATACATCGTGGTACTTCTCATTCCATCACATCAGGACGCACATAATGCCTGCTTGTCCCTATTTTTCCGTTGTTAAATCTGAGCAGCAGGTTCAGATGCAGTCAGACTGAGGCAACCATTATAAAGTTCGCCATCAGTTTTTCACCTCCTGGTTTATTGATCATCACCGCCTAGCTCCATTATTTCATGAAAGGTTGAGAACTGGGACGTCCTAATTCTATCATTCCTTCTGCATTTATCACCTGGGCACCTGAGGCCATGCCCTCATCAACTCGTTGTTTACCATGAGATACAGGTCACACAGGAAAGCCTGGATAAATGTGTGATATTTTTTCCCCATTATCTAACAGTTTTCAGAATGAGTCGGTTCCCTAGCATCCTCCAACAGTGACTAATTAGTTGTTTTCAGTGTCATTGTGAACTTGGAGATTTTAACATCTTTTGTGTGTTCCAGTCCATTGCAGTTGTGATTCTTTTTAATGCTCAAATCATCTCAGTTTGGGCCAGTGGGAACCTCTTGAAGTTGGCCTCTGAGTTGTTTCTTTTCTTTTCTATGTGAAATTTATACAACATAAAATTAACTTTTGCGAAGTACACAATTCGGTGATATTTAGACACAGATAAGGAAACCGAGGCAAGAGTAACATATTTACCTGGCTGAGGACACATGGGCTGTAACTCATAACACCAGGCTTCAAATCCAGGCTGATTTGAGAATCTGAGCTCTTCACCACCACAATCTCTTACCTCTCACTGGTCCTCATTATAATGTGCAGTCATTTGATTTATTACTTTACTCATTTATTGTGTCTCTCCTACTAGAACACAACAAATAAATGCAACAAATAAATGAAGTTCCTTAAAGTCGGGGGAAAAAATAAAACGAAGCCCAGGAGGGCCCATGCCCATTCTAACGTCTGTGTAGGAGCTGAGGGGTGGGGGAGGGGAGGGGTGCAGCAGCTGCTCCGCTGCAGTCACTTGCCTTGAGGGAATCAAAGTCCAGTGTTCCCAGATCCCTTTTTTTTTTTTTAAGAGAGGCCAGAAATCCAGACTCTTGTTCTGATTATAAATGTTGGTAACCAAATTAAAAATGAGAAATGAGAAGGAAAAAAATAACCCTGATGTCAACAGCATACAGGCCTCAGCCCACCAGTTTTTAGCCTCTGGATCAGCGCTGTCCAATAGAACTTTGTATGATGATGAAAATATTTCATATTGTCTCTGTCCCATATGGTAGCCA